TTTTTTTTTTTTTTTTTTTTTTTTTTCTGTTTCCATCATTCCTTTATGTATGAAAAGGAAAAATTTTTTTTTATAATTAATGGTAAACCAAAAGCAGATTATAATTTATAAAAAAAAAAAAAAAAAAACCAAATATTGTTTATTAAATTTTTTTTTTTAAATAATGCATTTATATATGTAATAATGTATTAAAATACATATACGCACAGATATTTATATATATTCTTATTGTATATTAAGTATAAGAATTTAAAGTTTGTGGAATATGATACAATTTATAATTCTACAGAATAAGCTTTATTAATTACAAATATAATTAAATAAATATATATATGCATAAATATATATATATATATATATATGTATATATGATTTATGAAAAATAATAAATTTTTTATTTTTCATTCATTTGGTTCATTTTGTTTATAACAACCTACTTTGTCATTTTTTTTTTTTTTTTTTTTATCTCCTTCCTCCTTATTTATAAACATTATTTACGAATGATCCATATATGTTTATATATATATATATATTTATATAAATATTCCTTTTAAAATTTATGTTAATTTTTTATTTATTTTTATATCAAAAGGACAGTTGCTATATATTATTATGCAACACAGATGTTTTGTATTAAATATAAATGTAAAAATTCAAAAAAAAATTTAAAGATATTTTTATTAATTTAAAAAAAAAAAAAATCATTTATGATATATTTATTAGATAAAATTGTTTATATTTTTATGTTTTCCTGTGCACAATAAAAAAGAAAAATGTAAGAAAATTTTTAATAATATGATATTATTTCATTTTTCTTAACATTATTATAAATAGTGTTGTTAATGAAATGTATTTGTAAAATATAAATTAATCATTTATTTTCCTAATATTTCAAACAATATATTTATTGTCTAATAATTATTTACATACATGTTTTATGAACTTTTTCAATACCTTCACAAAACTCCTAAAAACATATAAATATATACACATATATATATTTATATGAATATTAATGTATTTATAATAAATTAAACATTTTTTTTTTCTATTATTCTTTTAACTTTTTTTTTTAATAATTTTCTTTTTCTTTTCATAAAATATTGTATCCAATGAACACTAAACATAACAACTCACTTTTTGAAAAATTCCATTCGAAAAATAATATTCCAAGTGGCACTAGAAATAATTTTAACATAGAAAATGGTACATTAATAAAAAAAATTGAAGATCACAATGAAAATATAGTTAAAAAAAAGAACTTTAATAAAAATTTGGGAGATTTAATTTATAATATTTCTAAACTTATACTTGAAAACACTAATAAAAATAGTGTATGTAATGAAGAATATTTGTTAAATGAAAATAAAAATAATAATAATAAGGAAACAGAAACATATGTAAGAAATTCAATGAATAATTCTGAAAATAATAATATATATGCAAGTGATGAAAAAAATGAAGTAGAAAAAATTTTAAATAATATAGATTATAACAAAAAAGAAAGAAAATTAAAATTTATAAGTAATAACAATAAATATAATAATGATATTAATAGTGATTTAATTACTTTAAACAATAATATTAAAAATTCAAGTACAAAAATTGAGAGAGATAAATTAAATTTTTTTGTTGATGCGAAAAGTTACAACCAAAATACTAATAAAGAAAATGATAATATATATAGTAATACTAAAGATACGTTAAATATTCAAAATTATGATGAAGAATATACAATGAGAGAGATAAAAAATGTTCCTAATTTTTGTATAAATGACACAAAAAAAGATTCTAAGAATAATCCAATATATAAAAATGTTGATTATATAGAAAGAAGAGAGGAAAATTTAGAAAAAAATTATAAATCATATGAAGAGAATATTCCTTTTCATACAAAAGGATATAACCTGAATAATGAAAAAATTAAACATAATAATATAAGTAACCAAATTATTAAAGAAATAAAAAGAAATAAAGATACTTATAATCTAAAAAATATTGTAATAACTAACGTTTTTCTGGGAAATATTCCACCAAATATAACTGAAGAAAGATTAAAAAACGTCTTAGAAATTTTTGGATTTATAATTCATGTTGAATATAAATGGTCGGTAGATAAATGGTCTTATGCATTTGTTTACTTTATTGATGAAAAATGTGCTATAAATGCAGTAAATATTCTTAATCAAAAAAAATTTTTTGATAATTCACCAAATCATAAGCTAATATGTTTTATTGTTTCTAAACAAGTTCACAATCAAAATACTTTACAATATAACAAAGCAAATTTTTCCTTATTGAAAGATGGACCACCAGGTATAAAAAAAATTCACAAATATTAAAATACATATTTTATTTTTTTATAAACATTTTTTATTCATAATTTTATATGAATGGAATTATTTGTATATATATTTTATGAATATTTTGATGAAAATTTTTTTTTTTTTTTTTTTTTTTTAATAGGTGCAAATTTGTTTTTATATGGAATACCTTTAAAGTGGACAGAATTAAATTTAATACAACTTGTGAATAAATATGGACATGTTGTAGGATTAAGAATTCCATATGTTAATAAGGAAAATGATAAGAAACAAGGAAATAGAGGTTTTGGTTTTGTTTCATATGATAATAAAAAATCAGCTATTGAAGCTTTTGAAGAATTATCAAAAATGTATATACATGGAAAACTTTTGAAAGTTCAACTAAAAAACGGTGAAGAACATCTTTTACCAGCTAAATTAAAAAATATATATAATGTTAATAAAAATAAAGTAAAGGATAATAATAATACAAAAAGTGCGCAAAGTTTAGTTAGCACAACAGATACCTTAAAAACACTTAATTCAATAAATTCTACAGACATAAAAAAAAAATTTAAAAACAAGTGCTCCAGTAATAATGTTAAATTAAACAATTTTATAAAAAATAAAAATAAATCAAGTAATAGTGTAAGTAATAATACCAATAAAAATACCCAAAATATTTCTATGTCTGATACAACTTGCTCTAAAGGTTTATTAGAAAATGAATCAAAAAATAATTATCCTTCAAATAATTCAAATAATTGTGATTATCCTTCCATTTATTCAAACGCAAAAATATTTACAAACATTTCAGATAGTTATGATAAATGTATTATAGATAATAAAAATTTTAATATTTATACACAAAATTTTCATTATAATACTAATGCACATGTTTTATCTAATGAATATGATAAAGGAGAAAAATATATATTTGATATTAATGAAATAAATTATGAAAGAAATGATTTAAATAGCAGTAAACGTTTAGATACTGCAAAAGAAAATGAAAATGATAATAAGAGTTTAAATTTAAATGACGAAAAAAATATAAATAAATTTTTGCATAATAAAGATAATATAACAAAAAAAACAAATATGAACAATAAAACTTCAACATGTAATAATATGAATAATAAATTCAATTATTTTAATGTAAGTGATAACAATGATTCAGAAAAAGGAAAAAAAATTTCATGGAAAAAAAAAAAAAATCCCCAATTATTAGAACAGAAAGCAAAACATTTAAATAAAAGTTTTAATTATACAAGCAAAACAGACACTAAAAGACACCACATAAATATAAATAGTAATAAATTTACTTGTAATAATTTTTTTGAAATTAAAAATCTTGATAGAAATCCAACTTCTAAATTAAATAATTTGAAAAATAAAACATATAACGAGAAAAGCAATTTCTCTGATGATTTAAATAATTTAGAAAATTCTAACAGTACTTCATATAGTAATACACAAAATTCTAATGTGAATGTTTCCGATAATTTTTATATAAATAATACCAAAACATTACCTACTAATGAGCAAAATGAAATACAAAACATTCAAAATTACAAAAATCATGAAATCTTTAAAAAAATAAGAAACAAAATGCATATATATAACGAAAACAAAAATATATGCTCCTTTTTAAATAATATTTGGTACAATAATGATAATAATAACAACAATTATAATGATATCAAATATGGCAGTAAAACAAAAGGTGATTTTATTGAAAATAATTGCCATAACGAAATTAATAAAATACTTTATTATAATGAGAATATAAATAATTTCGACAAAAATGAAAAAGATCACATCAAAAGTGATAATACTTATAAAAATAATAATCATATTAATAATAACATGGAAGAAGAAAATTTCCATAATACATATAATAATGATACATATGGTAAAAAGAATTTATCAAATTATTTTAAAAATATGCAATTTTTTTTAAAAATTCTAAATAGTTACTCAAAAGAAAACTTATTAAAAATAGATGATTATTTTAACGATGAAAACAAGCAATTACAAGATATACTAAATAATAAATTTAATAAAGAATTAGATAAAAAAGATTTCGAATATTTAATTAAAACAATTTTATTAAAAAAAAAAGAAAAAGAAAATGAAATTTATAATAATATTCCTTATTTAAAAGAAAGAGAGGATTATTTAATAAATTCAGCAAGTGGTGATTTATTTAATTCAAATTATTTCAATTTAAATTTTTATGGAGATAACGCATTTAAAAATCAACCAAACAACGAGAAATGTGTTGCAAGTAATAACAAAATAGATCATTACTTAAAGGATATATATATCAATGATTATGTGAATATTCACAACTATGATAAGAACGTTTTGAATTTTGAAATAAAAAATGATAATAAAAACATTAATGACAATAAAATATATGATAATAATTTTATTTCTGAATACCAGAGTAATATTAATAAATATATATATCATGATTATAATAAAAATGACAATAATAGTAATAGTATCAGTTACAAAAAAAGTATAACAAATAACAAAAATACAAAAAATAAAAACAAAAATATGGAAAATAGTAATAATAGTATAAAAAATTACAACAGTGAAAATATAGATTACACTAAAAAAAACATGTCAAATAATAATACTGATAAAGACATTTATAAAATTATAAAATAATATAATAGTTATAGAAATACAATGAAAATAAATAAAAATAAGAAATAAAAACATTACACATTTTCATATTAATGAAAATGATAATGAAAAATAAAAAAAATATATTGTAATATCTTATATACTAATTTACATTAATAAATATGTTAATTATAATAATAAATATACTAATTACATTGATAGCATATATTGTTAATAGTTTTTAAATTTATATTAACTGAATATAAAAAAATATATATCAATCATAAAAATTTTTGTGACGATGTATTTTCCTATTTTAAGAAAAAATAGCAATTCTGAATTTTCTACTTATTATACAAATTCTCTTAAAAATAAAAAAATTTGTAATAGGAATTTTGATATTAGGAGAAAAAGATATTATTATAAATTGTAAATATAGAATTTATAGAATATATATGTTTAAAAAAATAAAATGGAGTTTAGTATTTTATATATATATATGTATATATATTATATAACATGAAAAAAAATACTTTATTCAGAATTATTTTTATTTGTTTAATTATTAATATTCGTAAATTTAATTACATTAGTATCCTTTGTATTGAATTTAGAATTTTTTTTTTATTTTTTAATTTTCATATATATAATAATAAATTAAAATTACTTATTTTAATTCTCATTTTAGTTAAATATATTTTATAGAATTTTTTTTTTTTTTTATATATATTTAGCTGCATTAATTAGCTTGTAATTAAATGCAAAAATTTATCCTTCCTCGTATACTTTGCAAATTGTAAATATCCCTTGTTAATTTTGCATATTATATATTTGCTTATTTATTTTATAAACTTCACACATACTATATATTAGTATATTAGGTAAAATTAGAATATTTAATATATAAATCAAAAATATATATATATACATATATATAAATTATATTTTTATATATTCTTTAAATTTATATAAAACTAAAATATTATATCATAATTTTATGTTAAAAATATGTTATACATCCTTTACAACATAAGTTTTAACTATGTATTAAATGCATATAAAATATTTGTGTTATGAATTTTTAGAATATTTGTAAAATATTTTTAAATTTTATATTTAATATTTTTTTTTTTTTTTTTTTTTTTTTAAAATGGATATTATTTTGTACAAAATTATTCATTTTTATATTATTTTGAAAAAATATTAACTTTTTTAATATGTTTTTTATTTATTTATGTAAAAAAGCTTAATTATTTTTAAATATAAAAAAAAAAAAAAAAAATTAAATGCTTAGTTTCTTCAATAAAAAGAAAAATTAAAAAAAAAAAAAAAAAATCATAATTTTTTTTATTTAAACCTTCTAAAATGACTTCTAACAACTTTTGAAGGTGACTTCTATGATGTCCCTTGAATATATTGTTTTATTTGTGTTAGTTTGAATTATTCGTGCAACAAAAAAAAATTTTTTGTTATTATTGACATAATCAACAAAACAATTTGAACCTGCTCCATCTTCAAAACCGAAATAATATGATTTAGAACCAAAATAAGCTTTACCATCTCTTTTTAAATTTTTTTTCAAAATTTTTAAAATATGATAATAATTTTCTTTTCTATATAATATTTCATTTCCTAAAATGAAATCAAAGGAGTTTAAATTTTCCTTCTTTAATTTTTTATTCAACTTACTCCATTTCTTATTAATAATAAAACATTTTGTACCTTTATTTTTTATTTTCATAAAATTTTTCTTCTTTTTTAGTTTTTCTCTTTTTAATTTTATATTCAAATTTTTTTTAATATTAGGTAATAAAATATCATTAATCACATCCTTATTTAACTCCTGAAAAACTACATTTCCTTTATCTAATAAAATTTTTATCCCAACTAAACCATGTCCACAACCTTCAAAAAAAAAAAAATAAATAAAACATAAAATTAAATTCATATATATAATATAATGGAAAAATCTAAACAAAAATTTATATTTAGAAATAGTTATATTCACCCAATTCTAAAACATTCTTATTTTTAAAATCAAATTTTTCAAAGTGTAGAAATTTTAACATATCCCATGTGCATTCCCATATTGTATATCCTCCTTCATATATGTTTTGTTTTACTAACTTTGCTTTTTTTTCCGAATCAACACAGTGATTTTTAAGAATTAATGAACTCTTTATTTCATCATCATTTTTTTTTTTTTTTTCAAAATTTTCGTTTTCGTTTAAAAAATAAACTTCATACATTTTATGTTTTTAAAAAGAATTTTCAAACAGAAATAAAAAAAAATATTTTTCTTCTTTTTTAATTTTTTTTTTTTTTTTTTTATAAGTTTTGTTTTTAAAAAAATTGTAAAAATGAAAAAATTAAAACAAAAAAAAAAAAAAAAAATAAAATAAAATAAAATAAAATAAAAAATAAAAAAAGTAGTAAAAAAAAAAAAAAATAAAAAATAATCTTTATAACGAAAAATCTTAATTTAATTACTAGGTGCTATAAATAATTTAAATGGAAAAAAATAATTTACAACATCATGTTTGAAAAATTTATTGAATTATGTTCTCTATACTTTCTCCTTGTATTACCCTGAAAAAAAAAAAGAAATTTTTTTTTTCTATTTTAATATATTCAAAATTATTATTTTTTTAGAATTTTGAAAAATATATATATTTAAGAAAGATATATTTAAAGTTTTATTTTCTTCTTTTTAAAATATTATTTTTACTTTTAAATTATCAACTATCAACCACTGATCACTATCCGAATTATAATCAGATGAAAGTTTAAATAAATTTGTTTTATTTTTATTCTCTTCATCTTTACATTTTATAGTTTGTATGTCCTCTTTAAAACGAACACTTTTCTTAGCAGAGTTTTTTTTTTCATTCTTATTAAAAAAACTGCTCTTGAAATAATTTGTTTTCTGCAATCTGCTTAATTTCAAATTTACGTCTTCTTTTTCATCTATATATGATGAAGAATTAATATTACTTAAAGAATCTAAAGAAATATTAAAATAATAAAATAAACTAGCACATGTAGTTAAAAAGGAAAGTAATAAAATTGTAAAAACATTTTTTGACACTTGTAATATTATATTCCAAATAAAATATCTTTTGCTAATTAAATTTGATAAATTAAAACAAAAGATATAAATATTTATAATTGTTGATTCTAAATTCAAAGGTGCTTTCTCTATACATAAAAATAATATTGGCAATGCTAAAATTTTTATTGAAATATTTTGAACTATTATGTTAAGTAAAAATAAAAATGGGCTTACATAAGCATTCTTATTATAATATAAAAAAGTAAAATTAAATATTTTAAATAATAAATTAAATAATATTATTATCATAGCATAATTTTTATAAGATTTTTTGTTGGTATATAATTGAAATACAGATATTCCTATCAATTTCGATGATCTGTAACAAAAAAAAAACAAATAAATAAGCATCATAAAACAAATATAATAAAGTTTCATAAAAATATATATTAAGCATATATTAGGAATTATAATAATAAATTTAATATATATATATATATTTTTTTTTTTTTTTACTGTGATGCTAAAGGAATATAATTCACTAAAGAATGTGGCCAATTATAATTCTGCACACCATATTGTAATATTGAAAATTTTGTATCAATAGAAGAATTAAATAACATTAATAAAAATAGCGTTTTGAGTAAATTTTCATTAAACAATATTTTTTTTAGAATAAAAAGTTGAGATAGCATATTTGTAGTGTTTTTAATATCCATATTTCCATTTTCACATTTTAAAGCTATATTATGTTGTATTTTTAAATTATTTGTTAATAAAAGTTCTTCACTTGATAAATATGAAATGAGAAATACAATAAAACTTTTTATTATTAAAATAAAAATACTTACTTTCACAATATAAATATAATATAAAATAAGAGAGGAAAATATTTTTACGCACATCACATAGGATATATAAAAGATGTTTTCAAAATGCATTTGTTTTTTGCACTTCTCAACAATTACACCTTCAAAAACACACGAAGTTAATAACATCTGACTTGAAATTAAAAAAACTGTAATAAGATAAAAATAATAATTTATCCTCTCATTTAAAAGATAAATAATTACTAATAGTAAACTTGTAAGGAATTCACTCATAATAACATAATATTTTCTGTTTAAAGGCAAATATAAAAAGGTTTCAATAAACTGTTTTTTAACTAATGCAGATTTTTTTAAATATCGTGACCCTGATAATCCATCTTTTAAGTATTTTCTGAAAAATATTTTAAAAAAATAATATTTTACTTTATATATTGCATTGCTACAAGAAAACATCAATTGGTGAAGAAAGTTGTAAAACTGGAATATTTTTTTTGACAAAAAAACAAGTATATTATTTAAATTAAAATGTACATTATCCGTTAAAAATGCCATAAAAGGTTTTAAAAAATACAAAAGTATTAAAATGTTATATATATTTTTCCTAATTTCTTCATTTGTTTTTTCTTTATAAGTTGTACTTAATATGTAATCATTGTATCGTAAAAATAATATATAAAAAAATTCACTTATATAAAATAAAGGTGAAATATTTTTTATAAGGATTTTTATCTTCGAAGTATCAGAATCCCTTTTAAAAATGTTTTTATTATCTGATGTTTTCTTCATTTTTTCTTTTCATTTTTATTTTTTAAGTATATAAATATATATATATATATATTCAAAATTAAAATATAGAATTCTCAATTATATGATTAAATAAATTATTTCAAAAAAATATATAATTCAAAATAAAGAGAAAATATATTTCAAAATAAGTACAAAATGTTGATTTTTTTTTATTAATATTTAGATGCAACGATATTAAAAAAATATTTTTTTAAATTGTTATTATAATTTTTTTTTTTTTATATTGTTTATTAAAATAAAATAGTCATCTCATAAATAAATTTTTCATTTGTATTTTTTTATAATTGAAATTTCTTTTATTTTTTTTATATATTAACATAAAGAACAATAATAATTAAAAGGTAAAAATACCTAAGTAAAAATACAAAAAAACATTTTTGTATATGTTTTATAAATGAATCTTATAAATAAAATAAATATTTTATATATGTAAATATTTAAATAAATGGATTAGAAGGTGTTTAAGTAAGATAAACAACTTAATAATTATTTTTAAAAAGTTCAAATTTTAATAACATTTACTTTTTTAATGTGAATAAAATAAAAAAAAATAAAATAAAAAATAAATATAAACGAAAAAAAAATATAAACATGAATGACTAATGTAATTCTTTAGAAGATTTTATTAGCAAATAAATTCTTAATAAAGAAATAAAATTAATAAAAAATAATATAAAATAATTTTAATATATATATATATATATATATATATATATATATATATATATAAATTATGTATTTTAAAGAAGTTAATTTGAGTGAAATTCTTCGTAAATATTATTGTTAACATCATCATTAAGCAGATGTTTCATATTTTTGATCTCATAGTTTTCTTCATAAGTTGTTCTATTTTTATTTATAGTATTATTTAAGTGATAAAAAAAATTTATACTATTATTAGAAAAACGTGACTTATCAATTTTGTTTGTCCAGGAAGTTAAAAATATGCATATATTAGGAATAAATTCACTTATAAGATAAATATATAAATAAATATGAATTTTTTTAATGTAATTATAATTCATATATGTTCTAATAATGTGATAAGCCATATAAACGTTAAAAATACTATTTAATATAAGCATAAATGAAATAAAAGATACTAAAATAAAAATGTTTAACTCTAAATCTTTTCGAGCTTTTTCGTGAATTCTTCTATTAAAAATTTTTTCTTGAATTTTATAAAAATAGTTTTTTATATTATTTGTTGTTTTTAATTTATATTTTTTAGATTTTTTCATACTATCTTTTTTGTGCCTCAGAGGAACAATATATGTATCAATATCTTTAATACCATAATATTTGTTTCGTAAATTTAAATGTATTAACAACCTATTACCAAAATAACATAATAAAATAGCTAGTATTATATAATAAATTGTCAATAAAATCAAAACATATGCTTTATATAGATATATGGAAGTAACAAATGTGAAGCATGTTATACTTATAAACAAAAAATATAAAAGCACATTTCCATAAAACAAGGCTTGCTTAAATATTGTATCACTTTTTAAAATAAAAATATAGTAAACCTTTATAATTATGGACAATATTATTGAATAAGCGTTTATATAAAATAAACTAGGTAAAAAATTTAGAAATAAATAAATCCATAATAGCAAATTTTTTTCATTACTTTTATGAATTCTTATTAATAATTCATTCTTATCTGAACTTCCCTTATTCTTCTTATTTATATCTGTCAATATATAATTTTCATGTTCACTTTTATTATTTCCATTTTCTTTAATTGAATTAATAGAATAAGCTGAAACAATATCCTTATTAGTATTTTCATCCTTTAATTCCTTAATATTGTTACATACTTTATTTTTTAATATATTCATATTATTACTTTTTTCACCATTTAGTATTTTGTTGTTATTTTTTTTTGTAATATTATCTTCCACATAAATATCATTTTTTTCAATAGAATGAACAAATTGTTCTGAAAATTTTTTTATTTCATTATTTTCTGAACAATTCTTATTTTCATTTATGTTTATGATATTACTTTTTTTATTCAGAGGTTCATTATATGTGTTATCTTCGTTAATTTTTAAATCATCAAAAGTACTATTTTCTTTATTTATTTTTTTTTCGGTAATAATACCATTATTTATTTTACTATATATTTTATTATTTTCTTTATTATTTATTTCACTATTTTTTTTTTCTTCACTTATTTCAAATGCATTTTTGATTAATTTATTCATATTTCCAAAACTAGGATGTTTAAGTAAACTATTTTTCATATATTTATTTCCTATAAGAGAATTATCATATTGAAAACGTTCATTTTCCATATGATGATCCCAATTAATTTCATTTAAATTTTTGTTTATAAAATCATCTAAGCTGTTTCCGTTTTTTTTTGATGAATCAGCTGGGATATATTTTATATTTAATTTATTCTTTTTTATTTGATTTTCATTTAGGTCTTTATTTTTAAATAGATTATATTCATTTCCTAAGTTAGAATTTTTTTCTTTGTAGATGTTTTCGCTATACATGTTATTGTTATCTCTGACCAACTGATAAATTTCTTTTTCTTCTAATAGTTCGTTTAAATCATTAATTTCTGTATTTTGCATTTTTCGTAGAAAATTATGGTCATTATTTTTTTTATATGGTTTATCATTAGTGTTTATATTTTTTTTTTCATTTAAAATTATATCAAACATTTCTTTATTCTCTTTTTCAATATCATTTACTAAATTTAGACAATCTTTTTCTACATTTTTAATATTGAAATAATTTTCTTTTTTAAGAAATTTTAACAAATTTTTATTATTATGAATGTTATTTATAAATAAGTTATTTGCAAAATCCTTGTTATGCAAATTACTTTTAGCGAAAGAATCGAATAATTTTATATCATGAGATATGGGTTTGTGTAAATCAATTATAAGGACGTAATCATAATAGTAAAAAAAATAAATATATAAAAAGAATATTAAGCGAAAAAAATTAGACAAAATAAGAAATAAAAATAGGAAAAACCTACTATTAATACTTTCTATATCATTTATACATTTGTTTTTATATTTGTAAGTAATGCGTAACTGATGCCAAATTAATAGACAAAAAAAAATGTAAATAACTATTAAAAACAGCATTCTCACATTTTTCTCCTTTAATACAATTAATTCAATTTAATTATGTGTTTGAAGTAATTGGGATTTAGAATAAAATAAAAAAAAAGAAAAAATTGAAAAAAAAAGAAAAAAAAAAAGAAAAAAAATTATGTTAATTAAAATATATAAAAATTTTATCTTTTATAACATCATGAAATTCTTTTTATATCTTTAAAATATAAAGAAACAAAAAAAAAAAAAAAGAGTTTATTTTATTTAATAATTATAAACGAAAGAAAAAAAATTTTTTTTTCTTTGACAAAAATATTATGATTTTGTTTATTTAAGCAACATAATTTTTTAATTAAATAAATTTAAATAAAAAAAAATAGTTAGTGATTTATTTTTAATTTTATAATTTTGTTCTCTTGGACTAACAAGCAATAATCATTATTTTTAATAATAAAAATAAAAAAAATTATTTTTAGAAAGATATTAAGAATTACACATATAACTCACTTAGAAAAAAATTATTATTATAAATTATAATTTTAACTGTAGAAGTAAAAATTGAATATATATTTATAAATTATAGAATCAACATAGGAAAAACATGATTTCCATTATATATATATATTTTAAAAAATATTGATAAATATGTAATTATATATATATATATATATATATATATATATAATTTATTTATGTATTTAAAAAGAATAATATATAAAAATTTTTTATATATTTTTATACGGAAAAGTACATTAAATATTTATCTTTCCAAATGCATGTCCTGGACCCCAAAATATTTATATCATTCATGCGCAACCATACAGAACGTTCAATAAACATGATGTGACAAGTGAAAATAAAAAAAAATTTTATTTCCTATTTTTTAAATTATAATAAATCAATATATTTTTTTTTTAATTAAAGGAAGAACAATTATATATACTTAAATAATTTTATAATTTTATTTTTTATTTTTTTTTTTCTGATTTAATCAACAAAAGTAAAACAAGTGAATATTTATTTATAACATTTTAGCGATATTTTTTCTTTTATTTAATCTTCGCTACTTTAAAACATTATGCATTCATTATTTGTTTAAATACATTATTCTATTAATAGTTGTATTTTTTTGCAAATAGTTATTTTAGTACAATTTTTATTTGTTAAATATAATTTTAATTTTATCGCCCACTTTTTAATTCCTTTTTTTGTGTTGCATATTTAATATTTATTTTTACGTATATCTTTTTTAATTTCTTTTTTAAAAATATGACAATATATATTAAATAGAAGAAATATTATTAAAAGCATTTTAATAATAAAAAATTATCATATAAACAATTTTTTAATGCTTAAAAAAAATTGCATTTATAATATTGTATGTCTGCATTATGTATTTTTGTGTAAAATTTTGATTAGAACATTTAAAACTTAAAATATCTTAATCTGCAATATTTAATCATTTTTATTTTTATTTAAAATAATTTTTTTTTTTAATGAAGTATTATAAAATTCAACATTATGTAGATTATCCTATTGCGTTTTCAATATTAATTTTTTTTTAAGATTGTAGCGAAAATATTCATCCGTTTTGCATTATTTATTTTTGCCTTATTTTTTTGTTTAAAACATTTTTTTTCATGATAAATTTAAATTATGTGATTATCTATTTATTTTATATATTTCATTGTATATATTTATTCTACAGTTTATTTTATATTTTCACTTTGAATTTAGTATTAAACAATATTGTATGCATCAATTTATTACATAAAAAATTATCATACATATCGAGTTTCTTATTTTTTATTTTTTATTAAAAAGAAAAGAGTAATAAGATAATATTATAAAGTTTCAAATTAACAGAATTGTTGAGTCTTCTACTCATATAAATTGTTTTAATCATAAAAAATTGTGATATATAGTTATGTAATTTTTTTTTAGAGTATCCTCCTATATTACTCTTATTTATTTTTTTTTCTTATATATTTAATTTTAATATATTTTATGTTTTAATATTTTTCGTTAAAATGTGGTTGACAGCATTCTTAGCACTACTTATTTTTATTGAATGTGTCGCAGTTATATACATACCATCATACATAGAAAATAAATTATCAAAAATAAAAAAGAGTAGATTTATGAACATGGAAAATTTTGAAAACATTGCAAGTGGTAAGTGTATAAATATTAAAAGTATTTACAATACAATTTCCAAAATTTATATGAAAATGCAACTTTTTTATTAACTCAATTTATTTTTTTTAATTAGGAGCAATATTATCTTTAGCTTTTATACATATGCTACCAGAAGCCATCATTTTGTCAAACAAAAAAAACATTAATCTTTATAACATTTTTACTTTAATACTTGTATCAATAGCATTTTTAAATATAACAGATATATTATATGATCATGATTTAGAAAATAGCTTCGATATTAATGGTACACAGGTATGTGAAAATCAAAGTAATTCTATTAAAAATATAGATGACAAAGGAGATAATACAAATTATGTAGACGGTAATGCAAGTGAAGATATAGATATAGAAATGAAAGCTTTAGATGGTAAAGCTAAAAATGATTCATGTAAAAATAATTTCTTTTTTGATATGTTTAAATCAAACTCCTTTTTTATTGTTTTAAGTCTTTTTATCCACTCCTTCATAGAAGGTAATTTCCTAAAAAAAATTATTCACTTCCATGTATTAAAATTCTAAAGAACAAATATAATTAATTTAATAAAGTTTTTGTTTTAATAAAATTGATATTTAAGAAAAAAAAATACATAATTTTATAGTTTTTATGAATATTTTTTAAATTTTAAAGGTTTTATATATGAATATTTAAAAACAATTTTACATAGTGATTATACATAAATGTTTAATATACATTTTAATTTATTATTTAAAAAGGTTTGCTTATGGGGAGTTTAAAAGATAAAAATGCTGTGGTAATTGTAGGACTGTCAATGATAGCTCATAAATGGGCAGAATGTTTAATCGTATACAAGAATGTTGTGAGCAAAATTGAGGTAACAAATAAAAGACAAACTTACTTTTATTTCGACATTCTCTCATATTTTATTTATTTTTTTATTTTTGTTTTAATTTTTTAAATTCTTTTAAAATTAAAAATATTTAATAAGTTAAAAAAGAATATATATATGAGGATACAAAATCTTATATATTTAACTACTTTTTTTTTCTTTACAGAACAAAATATTAGCGACCATATATGCATGGTCTTTTATATTATCTTTACCATTAGGAGTATTTATTGCAATATTTTCTTTTCCATCAAGTAAAAATAAAAATAAAAATAAAATAACATTTTTTAAGATTATTAAATTGGTAGTTTTATTTCTTTTTTAGATGAGTTAGTAGAAATAATATTTAGTTCTATTGCTTGTGGTTTTTTTTTGTACCTTTCCTTCAACGTAATTTGTTTTTATCATTTAAGAAATTTTAAAAAAAAATGTTATGTATATTGTGTATGTATAATATATTTTTTATAGATGACTAAGGATATCAGAATAACAAAAAATAACAAGCATTTTATATCTTTTAGCTATTTCCTTGGAGTGTGTGGCATGTCAGGACTTATGTTAGTATTTAACTCTTTTGAAGAAACCCTATAGCTTAAAATGTTACCATCTCATTTTTTTAAATTGAAGACGTTAAAAGGTCTTTGTTTTATCTTGGAGGATATTGAAATTGTTAATATTATGAAGTTAAACACTACATTTTTGTTTTGTTTAAGAAGTATATACATTGAAAATTGATTTTGTATAATTCCAATATATATATATATGAAGAGATATATATTATTTTTTTTACGTCTCCGCATGTATTTAAATACACGAATATTTTTCTGTCCTTTTTATATTACAAAAAAATTTGAATATATATTTTGAGTGGACATGAAAATTCAAAAAAAGAGGTGAAAATTTTAATGATGTATATATATATATATATATATATTTTTTTTTAATTATACCATTTGATAACTTTAATTTTTTTAAAAAGGTTGATTTAAATAATCCAATATTTACTCATCTTTAGATAATGACATAAATAAATGAATATACTATATTAAAATTTCAATTTTATATTTCAAGTATATTTGTAATAAATATATATATATTACATTAAATGATAATTATATTTTTTTAAAAAAATATTATATTTTCTCTGCATAATTCTATAAAAAAGTTAAAGATATATTTTTATGCTGTATTTCCAAGAAAAAAATTTTACAAAAAAATTAAACTTAATAAAGATAAATTTCTGTATTAGCCACTTCAATAGAAAATTTTTTTTTTTAGAAAGTACTTTTATTTAAATAAATAACATACATTTGAAATATTCAAAAAAATTTTAATCTAATTTTAAACCTACATAAATTAAGTAAAGTATATATTCTCAACTCTATTCAAAAATTTTTACAAAAATATTAAAACAATATATTTGTAGTGCTAAATATTTTTATTCATTTTTCATATATTTTAGAATATTAAACTATATTTTTAAAGATGAACTACAGTTTTTTGATAATTCATAGGATTTGATCTGAATATTATACTACTAAATAACTTAAGCAAAGATTTACGAATAAAATAAAGTATGCGATTTATTCAAAATTGTTTGAGGTGTTTACACAGATACAATATAAAAAATGTACTATAAAAAATAGTTAATTATCTAATTACAATGATAAAAATTAATTTTCTAAATGTCTTTAGATTTGCGGTATTATCATCCAAAAAAAAAACTTTAATACATAAATAAAATAAATAATATTGCATTTTGTTCGTAACATAAGTTATTGAATTGTTTAAGATTTATAAAGATTAATAGTTCCTTTTGCTGAAAAATTTAAGTTTTCATTATTTTTCTTAATAGCACAATCATATTAAAAAAAAATTGACACAACAAATTATACATGTTCTATATAGAATGAAACCTTAACGATTGAGGTTCATATCTTATTAAAATAGGCTTATGAAACATTAAAATCGTCTGATAGTTTTTTCTCAATTTGTCTCTTTTATAACCTTGAAAAAATAAAAGTTTTATAAAATAATATTTTTCTTTTTCTGATATTTAAAAAGTTTGTCAATAAGAAATTTACTTTCAAGAATTATGGCATTTTTATCTGTGTTTCAGTGTAAATTTAGTTTTACTCTATAACTTTGTTTAAATTTTAGTTACCTTTACTCCTCTTGACTATTTCTTCAAACTTTGCTATTAATTTTCTTTTTCTTTTTCTTTTTCTTTTTCTTTTTCTTTTTCTTTTTCTTTTTCTTTTTCTTTTTCTTTTTCTTTTTTTTTTTTTTTTTTAAATTTTAATGTTGAAAGTTCAATTTAATTTTTCTTAAAAAATAAATAAAACATCCAAGGATTTTTAGGCTGAATTGAATAAATAATATATATATATATAATTTTAAGAAAGATTTACTTTGTTTATCTATTTATGATTTATTATCAAGAAAAGTGATTTATATTTAAAACAACTATTTTCAATACAAAAACATATTTCTTTATAAATGAGGAATTTGTAATTCAAATATTAGAAGAAAAATTATTTGAAATATGTATAATTCTTTTGAATATTAATCATTAATGTACTACCTTACCATTAAAGACAAAATTTTTATATTGTTTCCTTATAAAAAATAGGAAATTACTATTATTTGAATTAATGTGAAAGGGAACTAAGTACTATATTTAAGATGTTTTATTGTATAAATATATTTTAAATAGAAAATTCACTACAAAAAAACCTTTATTTTATATAAAATTTTTAAAGATATATTTTAAAACACATTCTATATTGTAAAAATTTTATTTGAACACTGATACAAAATAATGAATCATAAGAATAATAATGAAATATAAGAGATAAAAAATTAAATAATTTTAAAATTTAAGTAAATTTTTTTAAAGAAAATTTTAATTTTATTATTTTATTAATGAAATTACATTTTAATTAGAAAAAAAACTGTGAGCAAAACCATAAAAATGTTACATTTTAGAAGAGATATATTTTATAAAAAGTTAATGTATTAATAATAAAATGTAATATTATATGTTATGTAAGCATTACTATGAACTTAAATGAGAAAATTCACCTAATTAGGATATATTGTTATTTATGTAAAAACATAACACTAAAATTTTATATAGCCTCATATATATAAAAAAAATAATGATTTAATACTAACATATAAATATATACATGTATATATAAAAGAAATAATTAAAACAATTAAACAACTATAAAAAAAAAAAAGGAAACATCTAATTCTAAGGTGCATCTAACTAAAATTACAATGTAATTTCTTTTTAATATAAAAGAGATAAGTTTTTCCAATATTTATTTTGTAAGAATCTCTTATATTAATATAAAGGTATAAAATAAATCCAAAAAAATAATATAAAAAAAATATTTAAAAAGTAAAACAAATACAATATATTTAAAAAAAAATAGTTTAAAAAAAAAAAAAAAAAATATATTTATATATATATATATATATAAACGAAATTATATTCTAAATAATTAAATTAGATTAATAATAATCAGAAAAAAATATTTAATAGACAATTTTTTAAATACTAAGTATGTTTATTATTATATTTACTAATTTAATATAAAAAATAAAAATGTTGATATTATAATTAAAATAGTATTAAAAAAATAAGAAAAAAGTAATATATTATTAATAAAAATTAAAAATAAATATAAAAAAATAACACATTTATTAAATAATTTAAATTAATAAATAAATATATATTAAATAAATAATACAATACAAAACTTTAAGTTAAAAGATAAATAACACATTTTATAAATAATAATTTATTTTAATATAATAATTGAATAATGTATTTATTATAAGTTAAATTAATTTAATAAATAATACCATATATAATAATTTAACTTAAATGACTAAATAATAAATAATAATTTATTTTATTATTTTAATTTAATAATCGAATAATATATTTATTATAATAAATTAATTTAATTTAATAAATAATAATTTATTTTAATATTTTAATTTAAGGATCGAATAATATATTTATTATAAAAAATTAATTTAATTTAATAAACAATTATTCATTTAAATTTAACAAATAATAATTTATTTTAATATTTTAACTTAATAATCAAATAATATATTTATTATTATAAATTTATTTAATTTAATGAACAATAATTCATTTAAATTTAATAAATAATAATTTAAATTTAATAATTGAATAATATATTTATTATAATAAATTAATTTAATTTAATAAACAACAATTTATTTATATTTAATAAATAATAATTTAAACTTAATAATCGAATAATATATTTATTATAATAAATTAAATTAATTTAATTTAATAAATAACAATTTATTTAATTTTATAATAAAATAATATATATATTATAATAAATTAATTTAATTCATAAACAATGATTTATATATAATAAATAATAATTTAAACTTAATAATAGAATAATATATTTATCATAATAAATTAATTTAATTTAATAAATAACAATTTATTTAATTTTATAATAAAATTATATATACATTATAATAAATTAATTTATTTTAATAAATAATAATTTATTTAATTTAATAATCGAATAATGTATTTATTATAATAAATTAATTTAAATTTAATAAGTAATAATTTATTTTAATAAATAGCAATTTATTTAATTTAATAATCAGATAATATATTTATTATAATAAATTAATTTAATAAATAATAATTAATTTAATTTAATAATCAGATAATATATTTATTATAATAAATTAATTTAATAAGTAATAATTAATTTAATTTAATAATCAGATAATATATTTATTATAATAAATTAATTTAATAAATAATAATTAATTTAATTTAATAATCAGATAATATATTTATTATAATAAATTAATTTAATAAATAATAATTTATTTAATTTAATAACCGAATAATATATTTATTATAATAAATTAATGTAAATTTAATAAAAAGTGATTTATTTAAATTTAATAAGTAATAATTTATTTTAATTTAATAAACAATAATGTATTTTAAAATAATAATCTGGAGTTATTATTTATATATAATAAAATAATTTAATTTATTAAATAAATAAAATAACAAGTATTTAATAAAGAACAATTTGTTCCTATTTAATAATTCAATAATATTTTTATTAATAATAGATTGAATTGATTTATAATAAATAATGCCTTTAATAATTTAATTTAATTTAATTTAATTTAATTTAATTTAATAATTTTATTTTATCAATAAAATAATAAATTATATAAAAATAAATATATTTTAAATTTAATATAAATTAAATTATTTAAATAAAAATAATAATTAAATTAAGTAATAAATTAATTTGTTTCAATAAATAAATAAATAATATATTAAATTAAATAATAGATTAAATTATTTTTAATAAATAAATATATTAAATTATATAATATATTGATTTGTTTTTCAATAAATAAATAAAATATAATAAATTGTTTTTAAAAATAATATATAATATTAAAAAAAATAATTTGAATAGACAAAATAACTTTAATATATTATAGGTAACACAATTAAATAAATTATTTTCATATTTAACAAA